ACCTATCCCCTCCTCCCACCCCAAGCCGCACCTCCATCTCCTACCGACCAACCTCATCCCGCCCCCTTGACCTGTCCGTCCTCCCTGGACTGACCTATCCCCTTCCTAACTCCCTACCTACACTCACCTTTCCTGGCCCCATCCCCGCCTCTTCGACCTGTTTGTTTCCTCTCCACCTATCCTCTCCTCTATCCCTCTTCTATCCGCCTCCAACTCTCTCCCTATTTATTTCAAAACCCCCTTCCCCTCCCCCTTTTCTGATGAAGGGTCTAGGCCCGAAACGTCAGCCTCTCTGCTCCTATGATGCTGCTTGGCCTGCTGTGTTCATCCAGCCCTGCACCTTGTTGTCTCGGATTCTCCAGCATCTGCAGTTCCTACTATCTCAGATGTGGTTAATATCCAGGTTTGGGCTGACAAATGGAAAGTGATATTTCCACCACATGAATGCCAGGCAATGCCCATCTCCAATAACTTGGGCAGCTCACCACCATCTTTTCAAGGACAGCAAGGGATGGCAATAAATGCTGGTCCAGCCAGCAATGCCCATGTCTCATGAGCGAATAAAAAAAGTTATTATTTATTTCAATTATGATGTGCAGGATTATTTTAATGAAATGGCTTATTAAGCTTATCATTGTAAAATGATTGTTCTCCATTGCCTTAGGTTTTTTAGGTAACAATGAACAATGAATGTCTCAGTCCACTTGGAATGTATCCTTTGACATATATTGATCATAATTTTTTGTTATTGTTATGATCCCAGCTGATGGAGCTATTGAATAAATCATATGTAGAATTAAGTCTAGACTGACAAATCATTTTTTAAAATTTTATTTAAAGTGGTTGTTGATCATCAAATCATGGTCGTATGATGCCGCAGAGTTTCTCTTACAACTGAGCACTAGTTTCTTATAATACAAGGAAAAAAATACCATTTAAATACAGAACATAGACTGAAAGACCTTAAAAGACATAGTCAAAGTCTCAGATATAACACAGTGTGGAGATGGAGGAACACAGCAGGCCAGGCAGCATCAGAGGAGCAGAAAAGTTGACGTTTTGGGTCAGGCCCCTTCTTCAGAAATTATCCACTAGAAACTCTAATAAGGAGAAACTTCTTCAGCCAGAAAGTGGTGTATCTATGGAACTCACTGCCACAGAAGGCTGTGGAGGCCAGGTCATTGAGTACATTTAAGACTGAGATAGATAGGTTCTTGATTATCAAGGGGATCAAGGGTTATGGGGAGAAAGTGGGAGAATGGGGTTGAGGAACTTATCAGCCATGATTGAATGGCAGAGCAGACTCGATGGGCTGAATGGCCTAATTTCTGCTCCTATGTCTTATGGTCTTATGGTCTTATGGAGTCAAATCCAGAAAAATTACCCCTCTACATCAAATCTTTAAGTTCACTCCCACTGAATCTTTAAAGTCCTTCCATGTAAACTGTGAAGTCTTCTTACATAAATACTCACAAAAATGAGAGCTTAGACTTGCTCCGCTTTTAATAATCCACACATTTCTGACCAAGCATGCCTGGTTAGGAATTTTCACAAGCTAAACTTTTCTACCGAGGTAACTGTATTTTCCCTGAACTGATCTACACTCCTTTCAAGGAGACAAACTATCTTTGCTTCTGACTCCAGTCAGGCCTCCTCCAAACCACCTGAAAAGCTTTCAGTTTCTGGGTATTCTAAGTTAAAATCAATTCTTAATTGTCCTGAACTAAAACAAGCCATTAATGTTTACTCCAGTTCTTGTAAACTCTTAGAGTAAAACCAATCTTCCATTAATACTGCAGGCAGTCCCTGTTCTTTGACACATACTGGATTAGGTCACTGTTCTGAAAGGACAGTCTTTTTTTTAAACCCTTCAGAAAAGTAATCAATCCCATATGGCATTATTTTAAAATTCATAGCCTAAAATAACATGAATATACATATAAATCAGAGATCCCTCATCACCGTTATCACTACTAATTCCTTTTCTTGAGTGTTTTTAGACATTCTGTTTTTAACTTCATCAATGCCTGACATTTTTTCCTTACTCAACAATTTCAAAGCATTCTTTACCCTGATAAATTGTTTGTCTCCGTGTTGAAGGCTCCCTTGATTTTGATAATTATACAATTTATTTAAATATGAATTAACTGAAAAAATTATGGTTAAACACATCAAGTAACAGATGCAATCAAGACAAAAACCAGAGATTTCACAGCAATCCACCCAAATATGAGTGAGGTTGAGTCACCAAAATATTTCCTCCTTCTCAGGGCTTCCAACTCTTCACTTTCAAAGATCTAGTCTGACAACTCCCTCAAAGCAGCCCCACCACAAGCTACATCAACAGCTAAATAAAAGCTGAAAAAACTGTGGATGCTGTGAGTCAGAAACAAAAACAGAAATTGCTGGTAGCAGCATCTGTGGAGAGAAGTCAAAGTTAACATTTCGGGTTGAGTAATAGCATTATAGAAACACAATTCCACCCCAACAGACAGGTCACCAAACCCGATATACTGCAAACCCATCACCCGTGTTCAATCCACAATTTACTAACTCCTTGTTATTATGTAATCATGGCAAACTAATGATGCACCACACACACAAGGTGAACATAGGAGCTGACCATCATCTATTCCAATGCTAGAATGCTGCAGAAATCCAGCTGGGACTGACCAGAGCCAAGAATTCAAGGATTGTGAGCAGGCAGACCAAGAAAAGAGGGACATCCTGTAATAGGTTGGTTACAAACTGCTGTGACCTCACGAAGACAGCACGCGCGCAAGTCTCTGCATTTCTCTTCTCTCACACGTTTCTGCCTCAATGAGATCCATGCTTATGCTTTCTCTATAGTAACTGATTGGAGGAGAGTCTGCTTTTAGCTAATTTTCGAACTTAATGCCACATATTGTTTTTAAAAATGATCAATTTTGGCCAGACTTTGCTGCATTATAAAATTCTCCCATTTAGCCAACATTATAAACATCTTCCTTAAACTTCTAAGGCCTTAAACTTCTCTTGTTAGTTATGTTCACAAAAGTAATGTTTATTCCTCAAGGGAATGCATATTTGTTGCAAATTATGATTTTAAAAAATTGTTTTCTCACGCTCTTCAGGGCCAGGTTAAATCTGAGCAGCGTTCCCTTTGCACCAGAGATAGTAGGAACTGCAGATGCTGGAGAATCTGAGATAACAGGGTGTAGAGCTGGATGAACACAGCAGGCCAAGCAGCATCAGTGGAGCAGGAAAGCTGACGTTTCGAGAAGAAGGGTCTAGGCCCGAAACGTCAGTCTTCCTGCTCCTCTGATGCTGCTTGGCCTGCTGTATTCATCCAGCTCTACACCTTATTTCCTTTGCACCGTCTGGTCAAACACTCCCGGACAGGCAAATAGTCTGAGATGCTTTATTGAGCAGTTTCTCTGTGTTAATCATGAAGTCATTTACAATCTGGATTTTTCAAATTGAAACTTTATTCGTGTTATTCCTTGACGCCGATTAGTTCATTTCAAACCGAAGGCCAGGCGCTATTACAGTGAAAGAATGGTTCGGGCGAGGCTTAAGTATCTCCAATAACTTTCCCAAAAGAGTGAGGGACTGGCTAATGTACCGTACAAAGGGCGCCGCCGCAAGACAGCGACCAGCAATTTCACAAATTAAAACCCAAAATAAATGTTGCCAATCAAACAACACTGGTTCAAAGAACAACTAATTGTGGAAATGTCGCTAGTTGTTCTACCAATATTGTATTTCCAATGATGAAAATCTGTCCGAGGTCATTTTAACGTGGGCATAAACAGAATAAAAGTTGATGATACTCGGACTGATTGAAGAAAAGGATAGCTCATGTCAGTGTCTGTGGGTCTGGTCAAGCTGACAGGCTGTACTGGGGAAAGACTGTGTGAGCAGCCTCTGAGAATTTTACAGTCGCCTGCTCAGTCTCTCTCCCCGGAGTGAGTGTCACCAAGTCCACAGCTCCACCCCTCGGATATACATACGCTGCACCCCCAGCAGTTTGACCAGGAAACCGTTCCTGCAAACATCACCTTCATCAACGCTAGTCGCTGGTTAGACATTTGGGAAAGTGTTCGCCACGGTGACCTCGGACTTTGCAGGGCTTGGGATTGTGAGAAAGGACGCTGGAAATCTAACAGGTCATCTCTGAGTGTTGCGATAGCTGGGTCTTCAAGTGTTGCGATAGTGAGCTGGGTCTCTGATAGTGAGCTGGGTATCGGAGTGAGCTGGTCTCTGAGTGTTATTGAGCTAGGTCCCAGTGATAGTGAGCTGGGTCTCTCAGTAATAGTGAACTGGTTCATTGTGATAGTGAGTTGGGTCTTTCACTGTTAGTGAGCTGGGTCTGAGGGATAGTGACTGGGCCACCGTAGTAGTGAGCTGGGTCTCTCAGTGATAGTGGGCTGGGTCTTTGCGGGTCAGGGGGCTGGAGCTGGGTCACGGTATTGAAAGTGGATTGGGTTTGTGTTTGTATATGGCCGGGGGAGATGGGGGGGTGGTTGGATCTGTATAGGGACAGAGGATTTGGGTCTGTATAGGGAGAGAGAGTTTGGGTTTATATAGGGACAGGGATTTGAGTCTGTATAGGGACGGAGCGGTTTTGGTCTGTATAGGGACGGAGGGGGTTGGGTTTGTATAAGGACAGACGGGTTTAGGTCTGTATAGGGACAGGGGTTTGGATCTGTACAGCGACGGAGGGGCTTGGGTCAGTATAGGGACGGAGGAGTTTGGGTCAGTATAGGGACGGAGGGGCTTAGGTCAGTATAAGGACGGAGGGGCTTGGTCTGTATAGGGACGGAGGGGCTTGGGTCAGTATAGGGACGGAGGGGTTTGGGTCAGTATAGGGACAGGGGTTTGGGCCTGGAGAAACAAGCGTTTGGATCTGTATGGGGACGGAGGGGTTTGGGTCTGTATAGGGACGAGGGTTTGGATCTGTATGGGGACGGAGGGGTTTGGGTCTGTATGGGGACGGAGAGGTTTGGGTCTGTGTAGGGACGGAGGGGTTTTGGTCTGTATAGGGAAAGGAGCTTTGGTCTGTACAGTGGGAGTTGTCAGGAAAGTGTGGAGGCGGTGAGTTCAGGCTTGGAGTGAAGTTGTTGGGGATGAACACTGGAGCAGAAGTGGATCTGAATGAGACTGAGGCCAGTGCTAATGGCACCTTCGCCAGTGCGTTTGCCCAGCCAACTTGGCAGGTGGTTCTCTGGGCAGTCGCTTACTCAGTTATCATCCTGACCGCTGTCTCTGGCAATGTGATCGTGGTTTGGATCATTCTTGCTCATCGGAGGATGCGGACTGTCACCAATTACTTTTTGCTGAGCCTGGCGGTGGGGGACGCCTCCATGGCCGCATTCAACACCGCCTTCAACTTCATCTACGCCGTGCACAATGAGTGGTATTTCGGGCCGCACTACTGCCGTTTCCAAAACTTGTTGCCCATCACTGCCGTGTTCGCCAGCATCTACTCAATGACAGCCATTGCCCTGGACAGGTAAACAGCTTTCTACCCGAGACTTACGCAGGATAGCATTCACCCGGGACAGCTCTCCACCCGAGACTGTCATAGGGTATAGAGTCACAGAGAACGGAAACAGACACTTCGGTCCAACTCATCCATGCCGACCAGGTATCCTAAATAAATCTGGTCCCCTTTGCCAGCATTCGGCCCATATCCCTATAAATCCTTCCGATTCATTGGCCATCCAGATGACTTTTAAAAGTTGTAATTGTACCAGCCTCCACCACTTCCTCGGGGAGCTGGTTCCATACACCACTCTAAGTTACACCTCAGGACCTTTTTAAACCTTTTTCCCCTTCATCTTAAACCTAGGCAGTCTAGTTTTAGATTATTGCCATAAAGGCAGTTGTAGTGAAGGTTCCCCAGATTTGTTCTCAGATGGCAGGACTGTCTTTTGAAGAGAGACTGGGCAAAGACTGGAAGGGATCTAATTAAAACTTACAAAACGCTTCAAGGGATAGGCAGGGTGGGTGAGGTAAGATGTTTACCCTGCTTCTGGAATCTAGGACCAGGGGACAATTTTAAAATTAGAGGGATTCCAATTAAGACTGAGATGAGGAGAGACTAGTTTACTCAGAGGGTGGTGGCAAATCTTTAGAATTCTCAGAGAGCTGTGGAAACTCAGCCTTTGAGTATGTTTAAGGTAGAATATGATAGATTTCTGACTACCAGTGGTTTACTTATGGAGATAGTGTGGTTAAAAAGCATTAAGGCCGATCAGCCAAAATGTTATGGAATAGTGGGACAGGTTTGGTGAGCTGAACTGCCGATTCCAATTTCTATGTTCCTGTGAAAGGTACATTCTCAGGAACTAACTAACGCAATGGCGATATGTCTCAAATCCCTTTTTCTTGCGCATCGTCTTCCTGGCAACCTTTAATGTTAGCTCTCCTGCAGGCTCATTTCTCCCTGGCCGTCCAGAAAAAAAAACTTTTAAAGTCTTTCAAAATTTGTTCCAATCAGCCCGGAATCTTTGTCATAAGGAAAATGTTAGGAGCTGTTATTAAATTATTTGCAACTGGACTTTTGGATAAATTCAGTGTAATCAGGCAGAGTCAACATCATTTTGTTATCATGTTTGATGAATATGTTGGAGTCCTTTGAGGAAGTAACATATGCTGTGAATAAAGAGGAACCAGTGGATGTGTTGTACATAGATTTCCAGAAGGCTTTTGATAAGAATGCCACATTGAAGATTATTGTGGGCGATAAAAGGTGTAGGGAGTAGTATAATGGCATGGATAGAAGGGTGGTTAACTGGAAATAGTGCAGGCCACTAGTGCAGTGGTCTTTTTCAGATTGGCAAGAGGTGTGCCACAGGGATTGGTGCTGGGTCCTCGGCTATTTGCAATTTATCTCAATGATTAAGATGAAAGGACTAAAGATATAGTCACCAAATTTGCTGATGAGATGTAACATAGCAGATAAGAGCAGGAGTAGGCCATTCAGCCCCTCGAGCCATCTCCCCCATTCATTATGATCATGGCTCATTAATTAAGGTCAATTACTTACCTTTTTCTAGGTCCCCTTGGCAATTATTATTTCTTTATTTATGTCCTCTGCACAACTTATTTTCCTTTCTGTCTTCAAATTGGCAAGAAAAAATCAAGACCTGAGGACTGGAGATAGCAAGGACTGCAGATGCTGGAAGCCAAGTCGATAAAATGTGGAACTGGAGGAGCACAGCAGATCAGATAGCACCTGAGGAGTCGGAAAGTCAACATTTCAAGTTGGGACCCTTCATCAGGACTGGCGAGGGGGAAGGAAGCTCAGAAATAAATAGAGGGTGGGTGGTGTTGGGGGAAGGTTGGTGGGATGGCGATATGTGGATGCAGGTAAGGGTTAGTGGGGATTGGTCAATGATTGTGGATGAGAGGTAGGGTTGGACATGGGATAAGTCTCTGAAGAGATCTCAGTGGGTCTCTCTCCCTCTGCAACCCCCTGGTTATCTCCTCTGCCCTGAAACCCTCAGCTTCAAAATCTCCCCACCCCCAGCCTCATCCCGTGTCCAGCCCTCCCTCTCATTCCTGCCTCCTTGATCTGACACAACCTGACCATCTCCCTTCTCACCTATCCACCCCTCCCTTCCCATTGACCAATGTCTACAAACTCCTACCTGCATCCACCTATCACTATCCCACCTACCTTCCCCCAGTCCCAAACCACTCCTTTTATTTCTGAGCTCCCTTCCCTTCCCCTGTCCTGATGAAGGGTCCTGACCGAAAAGTCAACTTTCCTGCTCCTCAGATGCTGTCTGATCTGCTGTGCTCCTCCAGCTCCACATTTTATCAGACTTGAGGAGTGGGAAAATTTTAGAAATCAGCAAAGCAGGACCAAGGAAGTTATAAAGAGAGGGGAAAAAAAGAGTATGGGAGCAAGCTTACAGGGATCACAAGAATCCACTGTAAAAGTTTCTACAGGTATGTAAAAAGGAAAAGATTGATGGAAACTAATATTAGCCCCTAACAGTCAGAAATGGGTGAATTTATAACAGGGAACAAAGAAATTTCTGATGAATTAATTTTATACTTTACTTCTGTCTTCATAAAGGACTGGAATAACGTACCAGAAATGATGGGGAACACAAGTATTATCGAGACGATTAATAGGAAGGAACTGAAGAAAATCTATATTAGTAGAGAAATGATATTGGGGAAATTGATGGGATTGAAGGCTGATAAATCCCCAAATTTATCCCCAGATAACCTACATCCGAGAGTTCCAAAAACCTTACATAGTTTACATATATGATTTAGAGTTGGGGACCATGTGTAGTGTGTCAAAGTTCACAGATGACACTAAGGTGAGTGGTACAGAAAAGTGTGCAGAGGACACTGAGAGTCTGCAGAGGGATAAAGATAGGTTAGGTGAGTGGGCAAAGGTCTGGCAGATGGAGTACAATATTAGTAAATGTGAGGTCATCTATTTTGGTAGGAATAACAGCAAAATGAACTATTATTAAATGGTGAAAAATTGGCAGCATGCTGCTGTGCAGAGGGACTTGGGTGTTCTGGTGCATGAACCACAAGAAATTATCTTCCAGGTGCATCAGGTAATTAAGAAGACACATGGAATATTGTCGTTCATTGACAGAGGGATGGAGTATAAAAATAGGGAGCTTTTGCTGCAGCTGTACAGGTTGCTGCTGAGACCACTCCTGAAATGCTGTGTACAGTTTTGGTCTCCTTACTTGAAAAAGGATGTACTGGCAGTGGAGGGGGTGCAGAGGAGGTTCACTAGAGATGAGAGTGTTGGCTTATGAGGAGAGATTGAGTATATTGGGACTATACTCGTTAGAATTTAGAAGAATGAGGGGGTATCTTATAGAAACATTTAAATTAAGAAGGAAACAGATAAGCTGGAAGCAGTAAGGTTGTTTCCACTGACAGGTGAAGCTAGAACAAGAGGGCATAGCCTGAAGTTAAGGGGACCAGATTTAGGACTGAATTGAGGAGGAACTTCTTCACCCAAAGGGTTGTGAATCTGTAGAATTCCCTGCCCAGTGAAGCTGTACTGGCTACGTTGTTGAATGTTTTTAAAGCAAAGATAGATAGATTTTTGAACAGTAAAGGAATTAAGGGTTATGGTGAGCGGGCGGGTAAATGGAACTGATCAACCATGATCTTATTGAATGGCAGAGCAGGCTCGATGCACCAGATTGCCTACTCCAGCTCCTATTTCTTTTGTTCTTGTATTATATACAGACAAAAGTAAGTAATATAGAGATTTTTTGAGTGACGAGGCAAAGATTCGGCCAGTGGAGCATAATGTGGGAAAATATGGGGGAAGCAATGGCCTAGTGGTATTATCGCTGGACTGCTAATCCAGAGACCTAGACAACATTTCTGGTGACCCGGGTTCAAAGCCTGCCATGACAAATGGTGGAATTTGAATTCAATAAACATCTGGAATTAAGAATCTAGTGATGACGGTGAATCCATTGTCGATTGTCAGGAAAAACCCATCTAGTTCACTAAAGTCCTTTAGGGAAGGAAACTGCCATCCTTACCTGGTTTAGCCTATGTGTGACTCCAGACCAACAACAATGTGTGGTTGACTCTTAACTTCCCTCTGGGCAATAAGGAATGGGCAATAAATGCTGCCTAGCCAGTGACAGCCTCATCCCATGAATGAATAAAGAATATAAAATTGTCCATTCTGGCAGGAAGGATAAAAAAGAAATAAGTAGATGGTGAGAGTTTGTAGAGATCTGGATGTCCTCATGCATGCAAGTATTGAATAAATCTAATTGGATGTTAGCATTTATTGCTAGGGAAATTAAATACAAAAGTAAAGAAGTTGATCTTCAGTTACAGAGGGCCCTGGTGACAGCACATCTGAAGTACCATGTACAGTATTAGTCAGCTTATTCAAAGAAGGATATAAAACCATTGGGAGGAAATTTTCAGATCTCTATTTGAGTTCCTTCCTCTTGGCAACCAGATCTCAAGTTCATGTCTTGGAGCAAAGGTGTTTTTATCAGGACTCCATCCCCATCCTCTTTTCAGTTCTGTTTTAAACAAAACTGTCTTGTAAAGGTCAGTATTCATGACATCTCCCCCTAAAAGTCAACCACGCATTGCTGTTTGGGGCGGTACGGTGGCTCAGTGGTTAGCACTGCCTCCTCACAGCACCAGAGGCTTGGGTTCGATTCCACTCTCGGGCGATTGTCTGTGTGGAGTTTGCACATTCTCCCCGTGTCTGCGTGGGTTTCCTCCCACGGTCCAAAAGTGTGCAGGCTGGGTGGATTGGCCATGCTAAATTGCCCGTAGTGAACAGGGATGTGTGGATTGGGTGGGTTATAGGAGGATAGGTCTGGGTGGGATGCTCTGAGGGTTGGTGTGGACTTGTTGGGCTGAAGGGCCTGTTTCCACATTGTAGGAATTCTAAAAACATAGTAGTAATGATTTTATTCCATAATGATATCAAAATATAACAAATTGCACCACTATAAACAAATGAACCAATGTATTACATACTGTAACATTCTTCCTCTTGTGACAGATTTTGGAATTATTCATATTCTATTGAGAACATTCTATGGCTTAGTCCATAGCAACTAACTGCATGCGATAACTTAAATTTAAAATCCAGTGTGAGTTCCTAGAGTCTCAATTGTCTTGCAAATGAAAATTTAGTTTACTGCTGGTCTGTTGATTTTCTCTCAATATCTGTAAAAGATCTTGATTCTCATTTTGCATAGGTAATACATCTTCTCCATATCCTTGGCTAGAAGACGGTATTGTGGTTCCACATTTTTTATGTTGTTTTCCAAAATATGTATTGGATAAGGCACAGTCTAATTCCTGAGATAATATATGTGATGGAACCAAATTCTTCACAAGTTGTTAGGTCTGGTTAACTTTATCAACAGCAACTTTCGTAATTGCTGGCAAGCCATCTGGCTTTTGAACACTGGTGGCTGTGAATTGTCATCAAAGGAGAAACCCTCTGTTTACTTTCTGGGTGCATTAATTTGCTTTATCCTTCTATAAAGCCAGACACAAATTATCATCAGGGTTTTCAATTTTCAGCACAGACTTTAAATCATTCTGTTCAGTTTTAATGCCTTCAATGTCTGCATGTTTTTATTAATGTAATAGTCTGTGAAAGACATTTTAACCAGCCAAATACCTGACAAGTCAGGAAGAACAATTGAATTCATCTCATCCTGTTTATATTCTGTCAGGTCCACTATAGCTGAAATAAATCATAAATTCTTTATTAAAAATATTTTATTCTTTTAGTTTGCCTGTGCCAATCACGTTGTGCAAGTTGATTACAAGTTTTGGAAAATTCCAATCAGTAAATACTAAGACAGAACTCAAACACCGTCTTCCTGGAATCTCACACTTTTGCAATGTGTAGACCTCACAGTCAACAAAGGCAAAAGAATAATAGACATGTCTTTCCATCAGGGTCAGGTTAAAAAAAGTGCACTATATAGACATTACGCTTGAAATGGCACCAACGGTCCATCATCTAGCTCATACAACGTACATTGGTTGTGACCAGAGGCATAGAAGCTGCCCAGTTAACTAAATCAACTCATTTCAAAACCCTGCCACATGACCAAAATCTCTATTATTTCTGAAAAGTTTAATCATAATTTCTGGACCCTTTTTTGCAGTCTGGTGAGAATCATTCTGCTATTAACGTTAAGGCAGGCTGCTAAGAATCTAACCAGCTGATAACATCCAACCTGCTTTTACTATCCAAATCACTTACGTCCACAAGATCATCAACAGAACAGCCAGACTCCAGGCATGCCTCAAGTCCAAGTAAGACTCCTTGAAACCTAGTTCTGAAAACCTTATATTTAATAGAAAAGTGAACCAAGTGTCTACATGCCAACCTCATTTGCTGTGCTTTTGTCAACTTTAAAAAGGAAAACTGAAATTTCTGCCTTGCTTAGCTAAAACTGAACTACCTGCCTTGTCCTCCTTGACTGTCTGGTAGTCACATGATCACTCTCTCCCTGAACCCCCTAAATCTGTGAGGTGACCATCGCCAGAAGAACGTAGCTTCCTGGATACATTGCAGTGATGCCAGCTGTTGCTTTAGCTCCTTGAACTGATGACACTTCCTGCACAAGTGACTGTCTAGGACGCGAGAGATGTTCTGGAGCTTATACATGCTACAGGATGTACATTTGCAAGAACTGATGCATCTTTCCATAACTCAATTGATTAGATTATTACACTGAGAGTTGCGAAACAACATTGTACATTACTCGGAATCTCACAGTACAGAAGACAACTTGAAGTTTATTTTCCTAGCCCAGTGCACTTTACAGATTGCACAAAATCGGCGTGGAAGCTTTATTACTTCCTAGATGCTTTTAAAAGGAAGTTAGGAAAGCACATGAGGGAGAAAAGAATGGAGGGATAAGGCTGGATGAAGGAAGATTAGATAATGCCTGTGTCGAGTGTGATCATTGATTTAGATGTGTTGGGCAGAATGGGCTGTTCTGAGCTTTCAATGTAATTGTTACTAGAGATTGAGGATAATATGGTGGACTGAGATCTGATCATTGTGATATAACACTTGCTGTATTTCACTGCACAGGTACATTGCCATCATCCACCCTTTGAAGCCCAGGCTGTCGTCCAGCTCAACTAAGCTAGTGATTGGGTTTATCTGGTTCCTGGCCCTGGCTCTAGCTTTCCCACAGTGTTTCTATGCCCGCATTGTGCAATTAGAAAGCCGAGTGATCTGTAAGGTGGACTGGCCTGGGGATGTCGGAGGACAACATCAATTGACGTAAGAATATGTTATCAGTTCCCTCCATTGTTAACTCTACTGCTACAAATATTACTAATTGTGTACATTTGCAAATCAGGACAATTATCCAAAAATAATTTCCACAGTTTCATGGGGGAAATAATATTCACAAATGTGTAGAAAGTTTCCTCTCAAGTAACATATAACTCATGGTGCAAGACCACGAGCTACTTATAATTAGAAATTATGTGCTTCATTGGAAGAACTGATAAGGATAACATAGGCTTGAACTTTTGTTGGTTTGAGGAGTTGGTAATTGTGCTTTAACTAAGGGTCTTGTGATTTGAAAGCTGTGAGCTGATGGGGGTCGGAGAAAAGGATTCGCTTCATTGTTATCCAAATTGATTGCTGGGTTCCAGTTACATCCAGGCTGTTATTGTTGCTATCATTGCAGCGTAATGCACTCTATGATAAGTAATGCCCCAACATGAAGTGTAAGGCTTTGATTCCATTAACTATACGAACATTCCATCAAGCCAAGGGATCAATCCTGGTTCAATGGAGAGTGCAGGAGGGCATGCCAAGAGCAGAACCAGGCATATCTGAAGATGAGGTGTCAACCTGGTGAAGAACCAAACAGAACTACTTGCACACCAAACAGCATAAGCAGCAAGTGACAGAAAAAGCTAAGTGATCCCATAGCCATCAGATCAGATCAGATCTAAGCTCTGGATTCTTGCCACATCCAGTCTTGAGTGGTGGTGGACAACTCACTGGAGGAGAAGGCTCAATGAATAAATCTATCCTCAATGGTGGAAAACCCTAAACATGTCATTGCAAAGGATAAGGCTGAAACATTCACAGCAATCTTCAACCAAAAGTGCAGAGTGGATGATCTATCTCAGCCTCCTGCAGTGGTCCCCAGCATCACAACACAAATCTTCAGCCAATTTGATTCACACCACGTGACATCAAGGATACTGCAAACGCTATGGGCCCTGACAACATTCCAGCAATTGTGCTGAAGTCTTGTGCTTCAGAACTTGCCGCTCTCCTAGCCAAGCTCTTTCAGCACAGTTACAACACTGGCATCTACCCAACAACATGGAAAATTACCTAGGTATGTCCTGTAGTCAAAAAGCAGGACAAAACCAACCCGGCCAGTTACTGCTCCATCAGTCTACTCTTGATCATCAGTAAAGCAATGGAAGGTGTCATCAACAGTGCTATCATACGGCACCTGCTCATCAATAACCGGCTCAGTTGGGTTCTGTCAGGACCACTCTGCTCCTGACTTCATTACAGTCTTGGTTCAAACATGGATAAAAGAGCCGAATTCCAGAGGTGAGGTGAGAGTGACAGCCCTTGACATCAAGGCCACATTTGACTGAGTGTGGCGTCAAGGAGCCCTAGCAAAACTGGAATCAATGGGTATCAGGGGGCAAACTCTCTGCTGGTTGGAATCGTATCTAGCATATAGGAAGATGGTCATGGCTGTTTGAGGTCAGTCACCTCAGCGCCAGGACATCTCTACAGGAGTACATCAGGGTAGTGTCCTAGGCCAAACCATCTTCAGCTGCTTCATCAATGACCTTCCCTCCATCATAAGGTCAGACGTCAGGATGTTCACCAATAATTGCACAATGTTCAGCACTATTTGTGACTCCTCAGATGCCGAAAGAGTCCATGTTCAAATGCAACAAGATCTGGACAATACCCAGGCTTGGGCTGACAAGTGGCAAGTAATGTTCGTGCCACACAAATGCCAAGAAATGTACATCTCCAACCAAAGACAATCTGATTACCGCCTCTTGACATTCAATGGTGTTACCATCTCTGAATCCCCCACTATCAACATCTGGGTTACTAATGACCAGTAACTCAACTGGACTCGCCACATAAGCATAGCACCAACAAGAGCAGGTCAGACACTAGAAATACTGCAGCGAGTAACTCAATTCCTGACTCCCCAAAACCTGTCCATCATCTACAAGGCACAAGTCAAGAATGTGATGGAATACTGCCCACTTGCCTGGATGGGTGCAGCTCCAACAACACTCAAGAAACTTCAAACCATTCAGGACAAAGTAGTTGGTTTGATTGACATCCCATTCAGAAGCATCCACTCTCTCCACCGCTGATGATCAGTAACAGCAATGTGTACTATCTACAAGATGGATTGCCAAAATTTACCTGGGGCTCCTTTGACATCATCTTCCACCCCTTAGAAGGACAAAGGTAGCAGATGCAAGGGAACACCACCTGAGTGATTTATCTTCATTCACTTGCAATTGTGACTGGGACCACATCCACAGAAAATCACTGATTGCCTAGATGGCCCGATATCATGCCTGTAATTAGCAATAATCCTGAAACTCTTGATATTCACTCTGAAACTGCATCTAGAGTGAATGCAATGCACAAAGGGCAATCAGGGTCTCCAGTGGATGACATATTTTAACAGGCCCCATCTCACTCCTAATCTCCTTGGACTCTACTTCACCAGGGAGATGAAGATATTGAAAATAGAATCCCAGTCATGGCTGATATGTCACTCAAGAAAAGTGGCCAGCCCATGCCAACCTGACCCAAAAGAGTTTGCAGAAAGGACATTTAGCTGAGTATTTGGAGCACATCTCACAAGGCATATTGTCCTAAACTTTATCACATACCACATCATAAAATTGCCCCAGGGTCCTAAAGCCCTTATATAACATTAAGCGAAATTACTGGAGAAACTCAGCAGGTTAAGCAGCATCTATGGAGAGAAAAACAGAGTTAACATTTCAAGTCCAGTGATCCTTTGCCAGAACCGAAAATAACTGGAAAGGCTGGTATTTGTGCTGTTGATGGGGGGAGGTGATTGAATAAAATGCATGGAGACAGTGCCCAGAAAGAGATAAAATATATGGATTGTAAATAAAGAGGTTCTGATGATAAACCGAGAGAGAAATGCTAGGTAACAAGAGATGTAAGTGGTTGAAAATAGGTTGGCTGTGCTAGTACCAACCTAGGGGTGTGGAGGAAGAGTAACATATATGGAGCAGGGTGTTCACATTCTGAAATGGTTAAACTTGACATTGAGTCCTGAAGTGCAGGGTCGCTAAGTAGAAAATGCGAAGCTGTTCTTCCAGCTTGCACTGAGCTTCACTGGAGCACTGCAGAGATGTTGACCAGGGAACATGGTGGTGTGTTAAAGTGCAAGCAGCTGGAAGTTTTGGTTATTTTAAGGACAGAACATAGGTGTTCTACAAACGTTCTCCATTTGTTCAGCAGCAGGAGTTGGGAGAGAGCGCGAGGGGATTGCTGGGAAGGTAAAATCATATATTCTAGCAGTGGCTAAACCCGAAACGCTACACGTGTAGTGTCTCCCACCCACCCTCCTCCTCTAACCAAAAAAAAGACTCCGTGTGGAGGGTCAATAAGCACAACGATTTCCTCTGAGTTGGGAGAGAGCGCGAGGGGACTGCTGGAAAGGTAAGTGGCGAGTACAATAACACACAGTTAGTGCTTTGGCGCCTTCATTTTTGGCGGCGGAGAAGGAGTAGACCGGGAGCGAGAGCACAAGAGTGGTGTCTCCCACCCTTCCACCTCCTCTAACCTTAGAATAAAAGGGTAAGTAAGTTATTCTCTACTTTTTGCAATTCTTTCAGGGAAGTTTAAATTTAGAGGGGATGGCAGTCAGGGCAGCGCAATATTCCTCCTGCAGGATGTGGGAGGTAAGAGTCAACAGCAGTAACTCTGCTGACTTCACCTGTGGGAAGTGCACCCAGCTCCAGCTCCTCAAGAACAGCGTTAGAGAACTGGAACTGGAGCTGGATGAACACAGGAGGCTGAGGTGGTGATATAAATGAGCTACAGGGACATAGTTACCCCTAAGACCGAAGGCAGTTGGGTGACAGTAAGGAAAGGGAAGCAAAGGAAACAGTCAGTACAGGGATCCCCTGTGGTCATTCCCTTCAACAATAAATATACTGTTTTTGATACTGTTGGGAGGGACGACAGGGTTAGGGGTAAGTCACAGGGACGGGGTCTCTGGTACAGGGCCTGACTCTGTGGCTCAGAAGGGAAGTGGGGAGAATAGGAGAGCAATTGTAGTGGGGGATTCAATAGTTAAAGGCACAGACAGGCGGTTCTGTGAACGCGAATGAGACAAACAGATGGTATGTTGCCTCCTGGGTGCCAGGGTCCGTGACGTCTTGGATCATGTCTTCAAGATCCTTAAGGGGAAGGGTGAGCAACCAGCAGTCATGGTACACATCGGTACCAATGACATAGGTAGAAAAAGGATTGAGAATGTGAAAAACGAGTACAGGGAGTTAAGTTGGAAGCTGAAGTCCAGGACAAACAGGGTAGTTATTTCTGGATTACTATCAGTGCCACATGATAATGAGGTAAGAAATAGGGAGAGAGTGCAGCTAAACACGTGGCTACAGGGCTGGTGTAGGAGGGAGGGCTTCCATTATGTGGATAATTGGAGCACATTCTGGGGAAGGTGGGACCTGTACAGTAAGGACGGGTTGCACCTGAACCGGAAGGGCACAAATATCCTGGGAGGGAGGTTTGCTCGAGCTATACAGGGTGGTTTAAACTAGATTGGCAGGGGATGGGGAACCGGATTTGTAATTCAGAGAATGAGGTATTCAGCCTTCCTATAGACACAACAGGGAGTGAGGTTGTTAATAACGAAATGCTGTCGATGGAGTGTAATTGTGGACACAGGGATGGTTTGAAGCGTGTATACTTCAATGCTAGAAGTATCAGGCGGCTGAACTTAGAGCATGGGTTAGTACTTGGAACTACGATGTTGTGGCCTAACAGAAACTTGGGTAACTCAGGGACAGGAATGGTTCAGGAAGTTCCGGGATTTAGATGCTTTAAAAGAAATAGGGAAGGTGGTAAAAGAGGCAGGGGAGTGGCATTGCTAGTCAGGGCTAGTATAGCAGCTACTGAAAGGCAGTTCGAGAATGATATGTCTACAGAGTCAGTTTGGGTTGAGGTCAGGAACAAGAAAGGAGCAGTAACTTTGTTGGGGGTTT